TATTAGACAGATGAGTGAAGGATATGAATGAGACCTCCTTAAAAGAGAAAACATGAATGGCCAAGAAACACGAAAAGGTGTTCAACTGTAGGGCAATTTGGGATGTGCAAAACAAAGCAAAAATAAGATACCGTCTACCCTCCCCCTCCCCAATAGGACTGGCCTACAAGGTATCAAGACACACTATAAAGAACTATAGTAAAAAGCATCTGGTATTTGACACACAAGTCAGTGGAAAATGATGCTCCAGAGATAGATCTGACATTTATTTTAGGATAAAGCTGACATTTCAAATAAAGGATGAAAGAATGATTATTCATTAAACTATTTTTGGATGATTGGTTATCTATTTGGGAAAAATATTTAAGACTCTACCCTCAACCCAACAGAAAAATGCAAATAATGCAATAACATGAGGTACAGAGATAATAGTCCCTCTAGGGAAGTTCTGATGATGTAGAGTGGGATGAGCATGTGCCGATACAGCAAAACCCCACATTTTCCCAGGATCATGGAAGGCAAGAGCGATCTAAGCAAACTTACGGGAATATGGATAGCAGTGTGTGTCCAGAGAATTAGCAATTTACTGTTGCAAGAGGGAAAAATGTGCAATTGAGGGAAGGAAGGGGAGGCTGAAAAGGCAGGTGGTAGGGTCCTGGTCAGTAATGGCATTCATTGTCAAACTGAGTTGTTTTGATTTGATCCCTTAGCCAAGGTGAGTCAGTGACAAGTGTTTTTTGGTTTTGTTTTTGTTTTACATCAGTGGAGTGAAAATGTTTGGTGTACATTGGATGGAAGTAAAATTGGAAGCAAGGAAGATGAAGGGCTGATAAAGTAAAATTATGGGAGTGGAGAAAAGGTCACGTTATTCATTCAGATATTCAAAAAATATTCCCAAGGATCTGTTTAGTGTCAGGCTATAGAGATAAACAAGATTAAATGAATGAGACCAATGTGGTCCAGGTGTCAGGGTGGTTACAGGGTAGGTCTGATGACAAGCAAAGCAATAGGGATTTACTAGCGGCAGCATAACTTAATGTTTTAATACACTGACCACTTTGACCTTCAAGTATGAGATCTTGCATTAAGTGGTTACAGAGAAAAATATCCTCAGGGCATTAAATCGACACATGAATGAAGGGGCAGAGGTAATCTGGTAGTGTGTGTGGTAAAACTAGTGTGTGCTTGCCTAAAAGTGTTCAAATTCAAATAATGATGATTAATGATAATGTCATGATTAGGTTTTATGCAGGATGTTGGCCTATGGAACACTGATTTTTTTTAAATATGCCCTTTGAAGTGGTTAGTTTAGAGGAGGCATAAAGTACAATTTTAATAAATGTTAGCTATTCTTTTCACTACTGTTACACTTTAATGAAATAAGTGCAGTGATAAGGGAGGATGAGGCAAGCAAATGGCTAAAATTCACTCTGAGAAAATACAATTCAATGAACAGGCAATTTACACAAAATCATCTCAACCAAACTCGATGTGCTCAAAGCCAATTTGCTGAATCGTCAGTTTTCAAAATTCATCAGATTTATGGAGTGTGGCTCTAATACTTTAATAGGGGTGTTAAATAGCCTTGTCAGACATGTTTATTCTTGGTCACGGAGCAACTTTCTGTTTATAGGAATATTTTGTGAATCCTTCAACATGTCATTTCCTGTTTTGCTGACCTTTAGAAGATTTAAAGGTGTGGGGTTTTTTAGGCATTTTCTCAGGTGGTATATTGTATTAGTTAGAATTAGATATGGCTGTGAGAAAGTAAGCCCTTATTTTTTTCTCCCACAAATCCAGATTTTGACTTCCAGTACTGGGACTCCCACAGGGCCCTTCGTCCTGTTCCCAGTTTACTTCTACCCGGCATCCTCACTCCTGGTGAATAATGTTACTCTTTCTTGTGGAATATTGCTGCACATTGCTTACAATTTGACAGAGATCAACTTCTCATGAATAAACAGTATTTCATGATAGGGTAGGAGTGGAAGGAAGTGAAAATGCTTAATAATTTCCCTTTGAACACATATATGAAGAGAGAAAAGAGTAACACCTGGAGGCAAATGCAACATCTTTGTAAAAATAAAAAAATAATAAACAAAGACAAAATGACCCAAATTTGGGTATGACAAACAATATTGCTCTTCTCTGCATACAGCAATTGTGGAACACAGTAGAAGCTCAGAAATATTTATTGAATAAATGAATGGATGAAATACTGTTTCAAATATCTACATATATAGAAGAAAAATGTTACATTTTTTTTAAAATTAGAAAAACTTGAGGGACTAACCAGAGTTTTGGTCATTTAAGTTTAATTTTTAACATCACAAAAATAATGCGGTGCCAGGGTTCTTGTCCCAGCATCAAGAAGGGTTCAGGAATCTGGAGAAGGGGCTGTGCATAGATTTAATAGGAATCCAGAGACTAATAAAGAATCTGGAGACAAAATATAATTTTGAAAGGCATTGGGGGTCAGAGAGCTTAGCTAAAGGAGCTAAGATCCAAGATCTTAAGTTTAAGGCAGCGGTTCTCAACCTGTGGGTCGCGACTCCTTTGGGGGTCGAACGATTCTTTCACAGGGGTCGCCTAAGACCATCAGAAAACACATATATAATTACATATTGTTTTTGTGATTAATCACTATGCTTTAATTATGTTCAATTTGTAACAATGAAATTGGGGGTCACCACAACATGAGGAACTGTATTAAAGGGTTGCGGCATGAGGAAGGTTGAGAACCACTGGTCTAAGGTCTTAGGTTCTCCTCTCTCCAGGATCCCATGCTTTTTTTAAAACACAACTTGTCCTGAGGCGAGGCAGAAATATACACTTCAAAGGGTCAGGGTTTGGTAAGGAGTCCATTGTCAGAATGGGGGAATTAGCCTACGGCTGTTCAGGTATTTGGCCAGTAGGAGGCAATAACATGTAGATTAAGATGCCCTTTAACTGTCTGGCAGCCACAATCAGTTTCCTATTCAGGTTTGGGAAAATGCCTTTAGCCATTTCTAACAGGTGACTAATGTGTGACCCAACCCTGTTGAGTCCCCAAGTCTCACAACCTTTTGATGAAACTCTTGAAATTATGACTTGCTGGAATTGGTCTCCGGCAATGCGGAAAATGAATTTTAAAAATTCTTGGGACCCAAAAAAGTGGAGAATGTGTTTCCAGATTCTTGGAGTGAGGAGACCCGGGAGAAAAACACTTAAGGAAAACAAAGCTGCTCTACGGAACACCAAAGTCTTAAAGTCACTGGTTGCTGTTGTTGCCTTTTTCTTTTTAACTAGATGATCATTTTAATCAAATTGCATGTTTTTGACAAGTCTTTTTTTCTAAGGTGACCTGGAACTTGTCTTTGTGGCACCTGAAGCAGATGTATAGGCCAGGAACTATCTCAGCCCCTGGAAATAGCCCAGCTTGATTAGAGAGCTGAGCCTTAGCAGGAGGCCACAGAGTTTCCAAGGTGAGGCTGAAAGGGAAGTAGTGGGCATGTCCTGAAACTCCCTCTTAGGCAAGGTGGTGAGTTCTGACTTCTCCTTGCTGATAATTGGGAGTGAAAGTTTACTGAATGTTTGTTTGCTAAGAGCAGACTGCATTCACAGGGCTCAATACATACCTGGTTGTTATGAAAAGAGCCGAGGTCCAAGAAAACATCATCTTTTTCTTGCCGATTTCAAAGAAACAAGCCGGAGGACTGGCCATGAAGGAGAGTTTTATTATGACTTATGTGCCCACCAGTGGCGGTCGGCTGGTGAAGTTTTCCACAGCACAGGCTTTCTGAGGTCAGGGTTATATAGTGTTATATTGGAAATCAGCGAGCCAAACAGAGGACGCCTTAATCAACCAGTAAGCCAAATTTGGAGTCTTTATTTTGCCGGCGGTCTCAGAGGAGTTATCTCCAGAGTCTGAGCAAAGCAACATGGAGGAAGTTTTCCCTTTATAACTCCCGGTTTCTTTGTAGGCTTTACAAAGAGCCCTATGTACTGGGAGATATTTTGCAGGAAGCTTGTAACCTTGAGCACAGCACAATTCAGTAGCCGTGAGCACAACATAATTCACATAACTAAAAGACACCTGGCATGGCAGTAACCAGGGACGGACCAGACCCTTACATCAGCAGAGCGGCCCACAAGGCCAGATAATTGAGCGTATTTTCTCTATTATTTGAGCAAGCATGTTTACAGAAGCCAAGAATAGCAGAGTTAATTCACTGAACAAAGGACCATCTATGTTTAGTGGAAAATGTCAAACAGCAGTTTTTACAACATCGAGGTTATGGGAACAAGATGGCGTGCCGATGCT